GTTTTAGGCTAAGATTTTTTTTTTAAATATGATCTTGTAGTTTTGCAATTAAGATGTGACAATCTCACCATGCGGATTGCCACACCAGCAGCTTATAGCATAGCTGTCAAGGAAGAACAACAATAAGCTCAGCCCAGCAAGCTGTGCAAGAGCCATTTTACCCTTCATTTACTTAGGTCTTCATTTTTAACAACTTCCTACCCTGCAACTCAAAAAATGACTGTGACACTTACCCAACTAGTTTACAAATCTCTCAAACAGCTCCGAGCTGAACCCAACACGGAAAAAGGGATTATTCTGGAAGTTTCAAACTGCAAAAGCTGCAATTTATAATGATGTAATTTTATACTCCTTCCTATAAGGTGGCAGGCTCAGGACCCCTAATTATGATGCTTACCCTGAGAAAAGTATTGACAGTGCTACTCAAAGAACAGTTCTATAACCCAACAATAAAGACATGGTAGAGATATCTGGAAGCACACAGAGTACCCAGATGAACTAGCCAAAGTGTTAACTAATAACTGTAGTCATCAGAAGGTAACAGTACAGACCATGAAGAGCCCCACAGCACCCAGAAGAGCAGAGAGTGCAGCAACAGGTAGGATGCAAAAACTTGGTTATAGATCTGAAGTGTGATTGTTTACACGAGTCAGGCTAACCCATGTGTCAGATCACCCAGGCTAACAGCGGAGATGACAAGCCTCATGATCTCCAGAACTACTATCATAATCATTTGAGTATATAAGGATTCTTCCTTCCTACCAGTGAGGGGTGTATGGCCACACTGCAATGAAATAGTGGCTTTTGAATACAGGATGGAGTATACTGACAAATTTACAGGTTGAAGATGTGTGAACTCAAAAACTGATTAAAAACTAATTATAAAAATCAAAAGCCTATTACTGTTACAAAATCCTACAAAAAAGCACTAAATATGATAGTAAAATGCTACTACCAAAGAAAACAAGATAAATTGTTTTTTAATTATAATTGTGATACAATATGATGTAGCATCTGCTGTATTATACAATAAATAAAACATTGAATGTCACAGATCCAAGTTGACTAGGGCACATAAGAAAACAGTGATTCAAAAGGGGGAAAAAGTCTTTTTGTCTTTTTAACAGAAGGACTAAGTAATAAAAACCCTGATTAAAGAGGGTTTTCTTGGGAACTTAATGCTACACCTTCATCTCAGGCCTTTGAATTTTCCAGCTGATCAGCAATTCATAGGAAATAATGTGTGTACAAGTCATTGGTACTCAAGCTAACTAAAACATGAAAGGGAAAAAACTTGAGATCATTCCATACCTTAATAAAAGCATTTAATCTGCAATGGTATGCCACAGATGTGTGATAGTATGCCAGACCAATCTATTCAGACTACATACACTGCTCACTTATACTGATTGTTAAATGTAACCAATAATATTTACCATTATGTCTGAAATATTCCTTGGGCACCATGTTCATGTCAGATTTTTTTTTGTCAAAGCAAGAGAGCATCTTAGCAATAGCTAAATATTGGAGTCAAACTTTCACAACTATCAGTCATGCTGCACATATTTTGCTACCTTATTTAAAAACCTGAATATCTGATAACGCAGTATTTTAATCCTTTCTTCCCAAGATCATGCTTTTTACTAAACACTGACAAGACAACCAAGAAAACCTCCTCAACCTATTTATCCCCACCTTTTGCCATTCTTCCAAAACACTAACAGTGCTACAGTTGACACTATTTTATTAATAGGCATGGTTAAATCTCTCTTTCTGCATTTCTCTCTTTTTTTTTGGTAAACATTCGCATTTTAACACTGTAATGCTACAGACAGTCATTAAGAAAAAAGTCCCTGTCCATGCTAGTCAGTGAAACTGTATTAGCAACCAGTGTGATAAATAACTGGATATCATAAATTTAGCACCAAGATACACTATGAGGAACAGCACATAAATGCAAAAAACTGTCGCACTGAAAATTCACATAACTCAGTAATTAACATGGTAGCATTCTGCATGGGATTACAGGTTATGTACATGTAACAGGCATTAAAGTGTTCAAGTGCAAAACATTTATAAATCCTATAAATATGTTAGTACTGTCTAAGTTAAAATAGCTCATATCTTTTCTTTAGTTACCTTCCTATAAGAAAAGCTGAAATATTCAGTTCCTTGAAAGCTATGTTCTTGGAGAGTCAGAATTAAGCCTACTCTTGACACTGTAGATTAAATTTCTTCATCTAACTTTTGCTAGGAGTAAGACTATTCAAACACTTAAGTTAGCTTGTTCTCTCCAGTTACTTTATGGTTGGGGGAAAAGTACATCTAATGTTTATCTTTCTTACTACTGCAATTTTAACAAAGTGTGCACGTATGCATGGAAATATATCATTTTTCTTTAATATACTTTTATGCACTTTTTATCCTATGAAGCATTACGTGCATAAAACTACACAAGCTGAAATGGCTTCAGTGCATAAAGGTCAATACATAATGCTCTATATAGTTAAAACAAAGTGCGACAAAAGCTTCATTACCTCAGCTGTGTCATATCCTTTTCTCTACATAAGAACAGATCTCTCCATCTAGAAGTCAATGCAATACCCTGCGTTTACACTCCTTCTCCAAAACACCTTGTACTTGGAGAACTTGAAAGCTGAAACATGACTCAGCACTGAATTTGGAAGCACCATATGTCTTAGCTGCTGGGCTTCTAAACTCTTTCATTGCTCTCAAGGAAGTGATACAATGAGAAATGGACCAGCTGGAATGGATTGTGACCCTGGGACCCCAAAGTTGGTTTTACCTGATAATGGGAGTGGGATCACTGAAAAAGAGAGAGTAAATCTTTCTAAGGCATGCTTTAATTCTACAGCGATTTGAAATATCTGAAGGAAATGCAACACACCTGTAGAAAAGAGGTTTTATCCATTTTCAATACAAATTTTGGTGACATGATAAATGCATTGGCAAAAAATTAATAGTTTACCTTTTTGAAGTATTTTGTGAAAAGGCTCAGAAATGCAGAAGGAAAAGTAGACAGTGGGCAAATTTAATGTCCAACAGAAGAAATTGCTTAATAATTGCAGCCCTCCTCAATTCTCACTGAAAAAGCAGTCTATGCTATCTTGGTAAATTCAGAGGGTCCATCTACACCAGAGAATGTCACTAATTTTGTAACCAGTCTAACGCACGCACCCAATTATACAGTTTGCTTCAACTCTGTTTGTCACATAGATGGCAACACATTTCAACGCTGTTTGTGAGCTAGGTTCAGACATGACTGTCATATTTTAATTAGGTTCTACCACAGGTTTTTTTTTGGTGTTTTGTTTTGTTTTTTTTTTACATGTATGGTACCACTTAGCTTCTATGAACCAATTATCCTGGCTTTCTACAAATGTACTCCAAACTGTACTGAACCATGTAAAAGCAAAATCACAATCCTCTACCCCTAGTTTTCTCCAGGATGTGCTGTCATAAACTTGACTGGACAACCAGATAGGCATGGACAGGGCAACAGAACTAATGCTGAAAATCAGGATTTCCAGTGAAGCCTGAACCCTTTAACTACTCCCAAGTTTTCAAGTCATTCAAATAGTGCATGAGATGATTGCCAAACTAACTGAAACCAATTATCAAAATGGAAGAAAATATTACAAGTCTGAACATTCACACCAAAACTAAGACAACAGCAAGAAAGCAACTTGACCAGACAGCAAGACTAATTTCTGTTTTTACAATTTGCTCGTCAGTCACCAAGTTAAGCAATCCAAAATGAGCAAGCTCTGCTTAACTCTTGCTCATTTACTTCTTAGTGAAGATGTTTGAACATGCTAGAAAACACACCAGTTTCCAAAGCATCCTATGCGAGTTGAAAGCTCTAACTACAAAGTATTCAAGGTTGATGTAGAAGTTAAATGTATGGGGTTGCAGTGGCTTTAAAAAAGTGGTGTTTAGACAGCGTGCATCTAAGAATATCAGCATTACAAACTAAAAAACTGCTGCCCCTACAACAGCAATTGTAAGGCACCAACTATACATTACATATATTATGCAATTCACTGGTTAATCATGCAATAAATTTAGACCAGCCACACATGCAATAAGACTGGCCACAAGCTCAAGGTAGTTGTCACACAATTAACTGGTTGTTAATGTGTTGTTAAACTACACATTTAAGTCAGCCACATGTGCAAAGTAATTATCACAAACGAAAGTGACTAGCCAACTATAAGAAGAGGCAACCAGCTATGAAGACAGTGCTTGAAAATGTGTAACAGCTCTATACCTGATTTCTATCCATCTTTGACTTGAATGTGTGGCAGGGCTCTAAGGCCCTTGCTGCACATTACATCAGGCCCTGCCACATGTTCAAATTAAAGCAAGATAGAAACCAGCTACTGAGATGTTAGATATTTTCAAACACTAACATTATGGCTGGTTGGCTCTTTTTATAGCTGAACAGTCATTTTTATCATGTGCTAATTACTTCGCATATGTGGCCCGTCTAAGTTGTTAGAAGACTGACCAAGCCAAGGTGTGATTGTTAACTTGCACCTGTGGCCCTATTGCAGGATTAACCAGTCAACTGCATAATAAACGTAGCATGGAGCAGGGGGTACCTTACGCAATTTGCAAGTTAATCACGCAATAAATTTAGACGACCCACACGTGCAAGTCTCCCCCACAAACATGACAGTGCAGCTCTGTCGAGAAGAGCCAGCCGCCTACAGAGCAGCGGCCTCCGCGCCGCGGTAGCTCGGGGGCGCCAGCCCAGCCCCCAAGACAGCGCGGGGCAAGCAGGCGGCAGCGCAGGGCCCCGCAGCCCCTCGAGCCCGTCCCGCAGGCCTGTCCCCAGCGTCTCGGCTTGGCCCCCTGCCCCACCGCGGGCTGCAGCTGGGGGAAGCCGCCACGGAAGTGGCGCAGCCTGCAGGTCCCTGAGGGGAGCCGGCCCCCGAAGCCCGCCCGGCCCCACCCGCCATGTTGCCGGCGCTCACCCTTGACAGCGCGCTCGCTCGTGCCGGGGGGCGGCAGCAGCAGCACCTTGCTCCCCTCCTTGGCGGACATCGCTAGGCGCTGCCCGGCTCCGCTCCAGGCCCGCAGCGGCGCCTCCTCCTCCGCCGCCAGGACACGCGGGGGCGGGGCGGGGCGGGGCGGGGGCTAGAGGCCCCGG